AAAAATAAGAACCAAGATGCATTATGTAAAGGTACAATTCCCAATGAGAAATGTAACTGTGTTGTATACCTACAATGTACCAATAAAAGGATTTAATACATTTAAAAAAAAAAAACCCAGCACAACATAACCATGCAGGTCTCCGACGTCAAAGACAACGCCCCGACCTTCACCCAAACCTCCTACACCCCGTGGGTCCCTGAGAACAACAGCCCCGCCCTGCACATCGGCACCATCAGCGCCACAGACAGAGACTCGGGCACCAACGCCCAGGTCACCTACTCCCTGCTGCTGCCACCGCCGCCGCCACCGCCCCGAGACCCACACCCGGGCCTCGCCTCGCTCGTGTCCATCAACGCCGACACCGGTCAGCGGTTCGCGCTGCGCGGGCTGGACTATGAGGCCCTGCACGCCTTCGAGTTCCGCGTGGGCGCCGCCGACCGAGGCTCGCCCGCGCTCAGCAGTGAGGCGCTGGTGCGCGTGCGCGTGCGCGTGCGCGTGCTGGACGCCGACGACAACGCGGCCTTCGTGCTCTACCCGCCGCACAATGCGTCCGCGCCCTGCACCAAGCTGCTGCCCCGCGCCGCCGACGCGGGCTACTTGCTCATCAAGGTGGTGGCGGTGGACGCAGACGCCGGCCAGAACGCCTGGCAGTCCTACCAGCTGCTCAAGGCCACCGAGCCCGGGCTGTTCAGCGTGTGGGCGCACAACGGCGAGGTGCGCACCGCCAGGCCTCTGGGCGAGCGCGACGCGCCCAGGCACAGGCTGCTGCTACTGGTCAAGAACAATGGCGAGCCGCCGCTGTCGGCCAGCGTCACGCTGCACGTGCTGCTGGTGGACGGCTTCTCGCAGCCCTACCTGCCGCTCCCGGGGGCGGCGCCCGAGCGCTCACCGGCCCACCCTCTCACCGTCCACCTGGTCGTCGCGCTGGCCTCCTCGGTGTCCTCGCTCTTCCTCTTCTCGGTGGTGCTCTTCGTAGCGCTGCGGCTGTGCAGGAGGAGCGGGCCGGCCGCGCTGGGTCGGGGCTCGGCGCCTGAGAGCTCCTTCCCGGGCCCCCTGGGGGACGTCAGCGGCACGGGGACCCTGTCCCACAGCTACTGCTATGAGGTGTGTCTCACTGGTACAAAGGAGTTCAAATTCCTAAAGCCAGTTATCTCCAATGTTCAAGTCCATAACACTGGTAGGAGTATGGAGGAAAAGGAAAACTTTGGTAATGGGTTTGGAGTTGATTTTAATAAAGCAATTTCCTTTAAATCTTTTATTATTTTTGACATGCTGTGGATCCTTTATATCTAATTTGTCATGGATTTTAGTTTGTACTGTAGATGCATGCATTATCATTTCTCATGCTTTTCTCACCGTTGCATTAAAACCTTTATTAATGGTTATGGCATGAAAATATAGTCTGTGCTTTTCTTTTTTCGTTTATTTTGTTAAAAATATATGAACTGGGTAATTATGTTGTTGTAATAATGACATTATTCTTATACAAGATAATCTTAATCATTTGGAGATGCAAACGAAACTATTAAGAATAAATGTCACAATGTGTAATTTATACAGCATCATACTGAGAAAACAAAATTAAAATGTTGAATCTAGGTGAAAAGCCTGTTGACTTAATCGCAGTATTTTCTGTAAAAATTGTGCCTTAGAAGACTAAATTAAAGTTGTTGCTTCTCTATTCAGTACTAGGGAGCTTTATACACTGTTTTTCAAAAATTAATTTCAGAGAAAGTTAAAATTACTATATTAGATACAATTGATTTCTTAAGTAATTTCCCCATAACTATTTTAGTTGATGATATTTTTGTGGAGGAGAACCTTAAAATATGTTGGACTTTGACTTTATTTTGTTTTCTTTAAATATACCATGTTTACTATCTTTTTGGTTATTTTATGCTTTTTATTACTAAAACATGAAATAGTTCAGAGTCTTATCCTGAGTAAAATAATCTTCCATTGGAAGAGTAGAAGACAAAAACTTCTTTGGAAATTGAAATAAAGATTTAAACTGTTTTTAAAAATGAAAAAAAAAGAAAAATCTATCTCCCTATTTCTTATAATCTACTTTTATTTTACTTTCTTACTGTGAACTCCAATGAGCACTCATCTCTTTAGCTATGGCCTGAATAATTATCTTCTCCAAAAATCCATATGTGGAAGCCTTAATCCACAGACACCATATTTGGAGAATGAGGCCTTGATGAGGTAATTAGGTCAAAAGAGTGGAGCCTTCATGAGTGGGATTAATGCCTTTATAAGAAGAAACCCTTCAAAAAATGTCTCTTTGTCATATGTGGACACAACAAAAAGATATCAGCTTTCTGGTAAGAGGGGATAGGTCCCTCACCAGAAGCTAATAGTTCTGCCACCCTGAGGTTCAGGCTCTAGAACTGTGAAGAATAGATAAATAAGTCTCTTAGTCTATAATATTCAGCAGCCTAAGCTGATTAAGTTACTACTATATGCATATTTATTAATTATAGGAATGTACTATGTTATTGATACACTGAATACATATAAAATACCCACAGAAATGGGAAGTTGAAGATTAAAGAAAATGGAAATTAAAGTTGCTATGTTTTTCTTCCCACTGCCTGTGGTTCATCTTGCACAAGCTCCAGTCTGGAGAACACCGTCCTGGGCCAGGGCAACCAGCAACCACATCATGGGTGTGCACACTAGAAGGGTAGGACATCAACATTCAGAATGTGGGAGATCTTCTTTGTGTTCTCTCCATCTTCTGTAAGCCTAAACCTAAAAACACTTCCACAACAGACAACTCCTTTTAACTCAACATGTAGCAAACACTTGAAGTCACAGATAGGATCTCAGTGGAACAAAACTCTCATATGTCCTCAAGCTTCCATGGGACCAAACTGAAAAACCTCCATGGGTGGAATCAGTCTTAAGCAGGGCACAAAGGTGGCAAAGATGGGCAGAGAAAGGAAAGAAGGAAGGGAGAAGAATGAAGAAGGAAGTTCTGGTGCTTTGGTGGCCAAAAAAAAAAAAAGTGGGAGGGAAGGACTTTGTGGGAAGATGGAAAGGGCTGAACTGCACAGAGAATGAGCTAGGAGCAGGGTGGCAAGTGAGGCGCGGTGCTGGGGAATCTGTGCCACTAAAAAGTGACAACCTTAGTTCCCCCACAGAGACAGCTGATGATGGTTACAGGTCCACATCGCACTGATATTTGAAGAAAATTACTAGGGTTGCTTGCATATTGAATCAGAGAGGCCTGCATGGAGATGAGGCTATCATCTAAAGCCAAGGTAATTCGGGACTCAGACCAGAGACCAGCAGTAGTGGAAAGGACAGCAGGAACACAGAGAGATGGAAAAAGAATTAGTGGGTCATGGACAAAGGGGAGGGGGAAGAAATGAAAAGAGAGAGTACCCAAACCTTCACAATTCTTGCTATGCATGAGATTAGTCATCACAGTTCTGCCTATTGATGCTGATCACTTAGAAGTGGAGTGGCCCCTTTGCCCAGAGCTTTCAAATCCTTATAAACAGGCACCACATAGGTCCTAATACTTCATTTTTCAAGACCTTTCTAAGCTTGGTGGTTCTTAACATCAGGACAATGGACTGCAGGAAGAGGCCTCTTCCTCATAAGCTACCTTTTCCTTGACCCAGTACCAGTGAGTCCAGACAATTACGAGTCGCATCACAGAAATGATCAGAGACATGACATGCAGAATATAGAAGATGAAGTGCAAGGTGAGTGACTTCAGAGCTATGATGTGAGCCTGGGTGCTGGGATCCCGAGCCTCAAGCGTGCAGCCCCTCATTTGCTCCACATCCTGGTACAGGGAGAACATGAGCAAGATGAAGGATACCAGGAACAGGAGAAGGGGAGTGAACCACATAACCACTGAATGCTAGAAAAAGTACCACTGATAGAAAGTCATAATGCTATGAGAAGGGGTGCAGTTTCCTTGGGAACTCTGGGAGACGATTGTCTGAATGGCTACCATATACCCTGATATATGGCTGATCAAATGACTGACAGGCCACTGAAGAACCATGAGCTCAGGAGAAGCCTGGGCACTGACCAAGAAACCTTCCACTTGAGCCAGAAGACAGGCTGGGAAAAGATGGAGATGGTCACACATAGGAGACAGAAATCCAGGCAGTAAGCCAGAAAGTGAGAGTGTTGACGAAGTCCCAAGGATGCCAAGATAGTTAGCTTTGTGGTAAAAAGTAAAGAAGGTCATGAAGTTGTTCAGGATGCTTATCCCATGCAAGCAGAGCCTGGAAGTGGCAAGGCAGGCCACAGTCATGCCCGCTGCAGGCAGAGTTCCACACAGTAACCACTCCCTACCCAGCACAGTGACCATGAAACCATTCTGTAGCATAGCAGCCAATGACCCCAGGGAAAAGATGACCATGAAGACTACTATGGGGGAGGAAGGCATCTTCTCCAGCAAGGACATGTGCAGACCAGCTCCTACTCCAGCACACTGGGACACATGCACAGGGAAAACAATCTCCAGATGAATCAACCCCGCTGAGACCAGAGACTCAGGAGCCCCTCTCCCTGGGTTTATGCAAAAGCCCAGCCACCTGCATGGTCCCAGTACCCCAGGATTTGAAATGAGAATACCTGCACTCTCATTGGCATGTAATCATGTCCAGCTCTGTGATACCTGTCTCTCTTTGGGTAACCTTATATTTGCCTGTTCTGCCTCAGAAGCAGGTGCAGGGAAATATTAGCAGAATACAAGTTCATGGGTGATTGCAAATATCCATATTCTGCACATAGTTCTTGTTCTATTAGTACATCCTTGCCATGCATAATGTTCACATTCACCATAGAGAATTTGTACCTGTACATAATGCATCTTAATTCATCTTTTTTTTCCATTCCTCTCCCTTCCATACTTCCTCTCCATGCATTTTTCTCACTATCATATGTATGTTGCTCATACCTTTTAATCAACTCATTTATTCACTGAGAAAATATTAAGCTCTTATGAGGTATGATTGAAAAATATGCTGAATGTTTAAATTTTTAAAACTTATTATAGTAAAAAAAATGACCACTAATCTCCTAAAGATACTTCCCTTTGGTCTGATCACACTTTCCACATCACTCTTGCCACTTCTGGAAGTCTTTTTAATTGTGCTGTCATGGCTGCCTCAATGTTCAAAACGTTTACCTTTCATGGTTGTTTTGACTTTAGGGAAGAGCCAGAAGTTTCATGGTGCCCACTGCAGTGAATAAGGCAGATGAAGACACACTGCAATGTTTTTACCTGCCTTTCTATTAGATGGCTTTTGGCAGCAGCATTCACTATATATTTGGAGGGGGGGGTACCGGGGATCAAACTCACTGTATTTTTTAAATCACACTTCACAAGGACACTCAGGGAAGAGAACTTTCAGAACTGCTGCAGAAAGTGACAAAAACCATCTTTGTTCTGAAGTTCTGCCTGCTACTGAAACCTTTTTCTCATTCAAGAAAGCTTTGTTAAATTTAACTGTTCCTAGCTTTGCTCCTAACAATCCCCACCTAAGAACCAACTGTGAGAACTTCCCTCTGTTCCCCTTAGCATTCGGGGGGACTCATAGCACTACTTTTTTGACCATCCTTGAGCCATCCAGGAGGAAGGAGTGAGTTGAAGTGCCTGGCAGCCGGCTCACTGGGGTCAGGAAATGAAGTTTGGAGACACTAAAGGACTTTCCTGAGTTACAGACCTGAAGCTGCT